CTCCAATTTTTCATCAAAATACCAGTAATGTTTATATAATTTGAAACACTTTTCACAAAATATGCATTTTTTATACTATGTGTGGGTTGTGGTCTGTATCTCTTTTAGAATATCCTTGCATTAAGTGCAGAAAAATGAGCATAAGATGGCTTCGTGAACAAAAAAATTTGGAGTGGGAGAATTCAAATGATACAATTTTGTTACCTGAAAAATTGTAAATTAAACTATGAGGGCAAATAATTTTTTTTTTTTAAGAACAAAGCCTCATGCAGCTAAAAACGTGTCAAGTATAATTTTTTGTTTTTGAAAAATGCGTCATGTGTAATGTTAGAATGAGGAAAATTCATTCTTGATGTTCACTAACTCTAAATTAAATTTTATCTTAGACTTTTATATCTAGTTTAGTTCCCTGCTTGCGTCACATATCCATTGTATCTGTAGACCACGAATGTTTTAGACAGCAGTTGTTTGAATTGCTACATGTAAGCCAAATCAATAAATACAATTTTTTTTTCTAATAGACATTCATTAATTCATTTATAAGTTAAGTGTAATCTATCAAGTGAATGCACATAACAAAATGTAAGGATCGAAGACAACCTAAGAGCGGGGTGAATTAGGTTATTTAAAAACTAATCAAGTTATTTTTTTATCAGACTTTTGAAATTAGTTAATTAAATCTAATCCCAAATTTAACCCCAAAAGCTGGCATAGAAAACTCATAGACTAATGCATCGCAACGAAATTTGTAAAATTTTGAGACTACCAATGGATGGACAATTCAGTCGATTTTCGAATAAACCGTCAATTCCATCCAATCCATTTTACCAGTTTATTGATTTCAGGGCATCCACTCAATTTTTGAATAAATCATCAATTCCATCCAATCCATTCAACTAATTTTTTCACTTTTGAATAAACCATCAATTTCATTCAATCCATTTGATCAAGTTTTCCATTTTTAGGGCAATCCAGTCAATTTTTGAATAAATCATCAATCACATCCAATATATTTGACTAGTTTATTCTTTTTTAGGGTTTCAATCTATCGTTCACTGAAAACCTAGTCGAGATATTGCAATCTTTTCAAAAGTAGGTTCTTTCACACTAAATTGATTTTTCAACATTATTTTATGTGTAAATCAAAATAATCAATCCATTCGGACTTTGTCCTCATTTTGTTAGGGCAAATGTCTCTTGTCACTCCAATTAGCCAAATTTTTCAAATTGTTTTTCACTCGAATATCAATAAGTTGATCGGATTCATCAGGTATTATATGGTGTCTACCTTAGAGGATTGCATTTTCATTCTAGACCAACCCTTGGCATAAAAGGGCTTCCCCATAGGACATGTATACTGATTTTACAATTTTGCTTACTAACTCTGGGTATTTTTCTTTCATTTTCCCCCCTCCCCTGCATTTACAAAAGATGTTTCAATAAGGTGAAAATATTTTTCTATATCTGATAATGATTTTTGTCTAATAAATCTTGAAAATTACAAGTATTATTTAATTCTTGGGCAGATCCTACAATGTAAATTTGAAGAATCCATCTGGAAGTGCTAGTTTAAAGCATTTAAGAGATTTCATGATTTAGTGTTCAAAAAAAAATTTCGTTTCAAACATTTACAACAATAAAGTTTTTCATTTAAACAATTATTGTTTTGTAGATATTCATATTCAATTCATTCTTTATTTGCTCATTGGGAGATTTCATGATGAACTTTAAGAAATAAGATAAACTGAGATTTTTCAACCTCTTGCCTGAAAATTCACGTATGTTTAATTTTCTAAAATCTTTGCATACACTAGATTAGTGGTCCAAACTATTCAATGAGAGCATTCGAAATCAAAAGAGATCACTCAAACATGAGGATTTGTCTCAAAAGAACAACTAGATACCTTTTCCCCTTTCATTCTTTACAATTCATATTTTGCCACTTCCATCAAGCCTTCAAAGTCAGTCACATTAGTTGACAAACTTCAGAGTGAGGCAATCTTTATTTTGAAAATACCCACTAGGTCTAATCGGATTCAATTCACATCTAAGTGAAAACAAAAATATATATTACTCTTGTTTGTTTTGAAAATTTGGAATGATATTTTAGGCGTTCGTTTCTCTATCTATACAGATTTTACCATTTGTTCTCCTATTTGAGCCTTTAAATTCATTTCAAATAAAAGCCTTAGTGATCGTAACCCTACATGGAAAAAATTTTCAATTATCAAAAGGGAATGGATTCTCAATGAGTTATTCTTTGCTTTGATTGTCACGTAACGTAAGAATGATGCTTTGGTCATCGTTTCTCCAATCTAAACACTGTTTATCTCTTGCACCCTCATTTGAGTTTAAATTGGTGGTTCGTTTTAAAAACATTTATGATCGCACCTCACATTGGGGAAGGAGATTTGAGAATAGCAAAAATGCTAAAAGTAAAAAGAAGAGAGAAAAATTACAAGTTGGGGGAACTTGATTCTATCATTGATATTTGGACTTCAATATTGGAAAGAGAGGGGGCACATATTCTCTAAAAGTTAGGGGATTTTCAAATTTATCATTAATATTTAAAATTTCGATATTAGAAAAATAAAAAAAAGAAGAAAAAAAGGAAAAAAAAAAAGAAAAAGAGAAAAATGCAAAGACATCTAATGCTAAATTCCCTCTAGTGGTTGATGATAAAAGTCAAAATGAAGTCCAAGATCTTTAACTCCAAAATTGGGGCAATTTTTGGGAGGAATGCGATCTCAAGTGCAATAGTCTTGAAAATCTTATTTCTTTAACTATCGCTTTTAAGCCACATTACGAGCTCATAAAGTCCATCGCTGACTTATCTTTCTTGACAATTCGAACTAAGGATCATGCTTCTAAAGAATCTACCAATCATTCGTGATCATAACATAACCTGCTTCCATATGTTTAGCTATCGTTTCTACCCATACATTACAAACCTATAGAGCTTAAATGTTGATTGAGTTTTCTTAAGAAATAAGAGTGACAAACTATTCGCTTTCACCAAGATGTGATATTGAATAGGTTAGACACAATCTAGGCATAAAAAGCAAGGCAAATCCAGACATGCCATTTCCCTTAGCCACCTCAAAATCATGAATAACACTACTTGATTGGTCCTAAAGGATGAGCTAATAAGAAAAGTGTTCCTTCCCCCCTAAGCACATGGGCTAAAGTGATGAAGAAATCTGTTGCAATTTGGTCTTGTTTTAAGAGATTCATCATGAAATCTTCTGCAAGAATTTAAACTTTTACATTTGAAAAATGCAATTTCTATTCACATTGCATGTTAGTATGTGATCATTCTCTAAATTTTAGGAAACACAATTTTTCTTGTTTTGTCCAAATAGATGGATAGCCATCCGAATAAAATTTTTGCAACTAAATAGATTCACACTGGGGCAACATTTTATAATATATTTGTAAGATTTCGCAAGATAGGCTCAAACTGGGGCAAATTTTTATAATACATTTGTGAGATTTCACCAAATGGGTCCAAAATTGGGGTACGTTTTCGAGATTTCTCCCAAGAGTCAAGTAATATACTTTCAAATCTATTGCTCAAAATTCGATTTTTGATAAGACCATTCCTTTCAAGAATAGTAAATGCATCATCTTTCAGAATAAAGAGAGGATTTTTTTTGTCAAAACTCAAGTGCATGTTGTACTTTGATAAACCCCCCTCTGCGCAAATATTTATGGCTGAAATCGACGAAGAAGCGCAAGTCAGAATACTGTGAATTCGAAGGTCAATCAAGAAAAAAAAGAGAGGAAAAAAAACAACAAACCCTACGCTGGGGCAATTTAGAAAATAAAAAAGAAAGAAAAAGAAAAAAGAAGAATTTCAAAACCTATTTCGACCATTTTTATTTTGTTGGGTTTGGATCTTATCCTACCAACCTCGGCAGGCTCGGGTCTTATCCCATTGACCGTTTTTATTTTGTTGGGTTTGGGTTTTATCCCACCAACCTCGGCGGGTTTGGATTTTATCCCACTGACCGTTTTTATTTTGTTGGGTTTGAGTTTTATTCCACCAACCTTGGCGGGTTTGGGTTTTATTCCGCTGACTGATTTTATTCCATCAACCTCGACAGGCTTGGGTTTTATCACACTAACCGTTTTTATTTTGTTGGATTTGGGTTTTATCTCACAAACCTCGGCAGGCTCGGATTTTATCTCACTAACCCTTTATTTTCTTAGATTCGAGTTTTATCCCACCAACCGTATCGGGTTTGAGTTTTATCCCACCGATCGTTTATTTTGTTAAGTTTGGGTTATCCCACCATTCCTTTTATTTTCTAGGTTTAAATTTTTCTGATTAATTAAGTTTTGCTAATTGTTTCAATCGCAGCTAAGCCAGACAAGTGAATAATTTGGTGTCTACGTCTTTGTCTTGAATTTCTTAGAAATCCAGACAAAGAGGGACAAGTTGTAGACACCAAAATTTAACAAAATTTTCTTCATTTTATTTCTATTTTTTGTTCATTTTTAGTTAAATTTTATTTTTATTTTTATTTATTTTTGTTTCATTTCTATGTCTTGAGAAAAATCATTGTAGAAAAATCGGAAAAGAAAAGAAAAGAAAGAAAAAAAAGCAAAAAAAAAATCAATCAAAATCAGCTTTTGCATTATAGAAAAAAAAAAAAAAGAGGAAAAGGGCAACCCAATGCACGCGCGCCAATCCTTTCCATGGCTTCGTACCAGAAGCCATGGATGAATAATACCAAAATTTGCAGCTGGCCATTTGTCCAATTTTCACTCGTTTTCTTTTGCATTTTTCCTTCCTTTCCAGCCCTTTAGTACAAGAGGACACTTCGTCAGCATGAATCATCAAGAAAATCCAGATTAAAAGCCATCTAATGGCTTACAATGGCCAACAAAAAAAAGGCAGCAAACCTGCACCTTAGATGCTAGGGTTGAGGGTTTTGTGCCTATAAAAGGCTCCAAAACGTAAGAAAGAACAAGAGGACAAGAGGGAGGCTGCGGAAGAGTAGATAGAGAGAGAAAAAAGAGAGAAAAAGAGAAAAAAAAAAAAGGAAAAATTTCTGCAGAATTTTCGCAGAAAAGAGCTGATTTTCAGCCATTTTGGAACTCAATTATCTCTTTTATCGCAGCTTCATTCGATAAGATTTCAGTTTCCACGTAAACTAGGACGTGAAAAGAGAAATTTTTTTTTAGATACCTCTTGCAAAAAACGTCTAGACACCTCTAAAATCGAAGCTCGAACCTGCTTACCTGGCAGAAAATCTGAAAAAAAAAGTTAAGCCAGGGTTGGGGAGAAGGCAAATTCGTGATCAAAATTTGATGTCGAATCCAGGTCTTTTGGGAGTTTATTTTAATATACACCATCTACACTTGTAGAGGTGTAATTTTGGTTCAGTTTTCTTCACGAAAAAACCTCTCTAAATAGTCGAAATTTCTGCCCAAAATTCACCCATAGTCAGCTCCTGGACGTTCTTCGGCAGAATTTCGCAGCTTCAATTTTTCGTTCGGGGGAGTGTTGTCGTCAAATCCTCCTCTTCATTTAGCTCTATAAGACGATTAAGGTAACTTAAGTCACCTTATTCTTGTTATATACACTCAGATTTGTTCCCAAAAGAGGCTAAAAAATCTGCTACTTCAGTATCTTTCTTCCTGTTTCATTTTTTAGAAGTTGCTGTCTTCAATTGGAGGTTATGAAACTTTGTTAATGTTTTTGGTGATGTTTGCTAAGAGTTTGGGAAAGAATTTGACTTGATTTGTTCAGGTCTTGACTGTTTTCCTTTTATGATGCAACATTTGTGTCACTCTTTGCTATGTTTGACAAACCCAGAAGAGTCGCAGGAGAAAGAATAAGAAACCAGCGAAGAAGATGGTGGCTTCGATTGCTGACATTTTTTTTTCCAAACATTGCATTTTGACCCCACAACTTTGGCCTAATTCCACTACAGCCCAAACACTTCTGCAATTGAATCAATTTTCCCCCTATTTTGTCTTAATCATTTTTTGCATGTTTAAATCTGTCTCTTGAGCAACTTATTTTCTGGTTTTAGGATATAATTAGGGTTTAATAATTTTAGCTGCTTTTTTTTTTTATCATGTTGGGTTTTAGTGAAATAGGTGATTTGGGTTAAAAGGTTATTTTGTTTGAGTTTTAAGTGAGTGGGTTTGAGTTAATTTTTTTGGGTTTTTGACTTGGGATGTAGGGTTAAAACCCATCCGTTTTGTTGGATTATTTTCGGTCAAATGATGGACTAAACCCGCTCCTTTTACCTTGGACTTTCGATTGGGCCAAATGGCTTTTTACCCAAAGAAATGTTGAGGATGGTCTAGTGGTCCAATTCCTTAAGTGACCTGGTGACGATAATTGCAAGTCAGTCCCTAACATTTTTAGTAATTATTTTGTGGCTCTAAAAACTTTAGATTTTTTTCATTTAGATCCCTAATTTAATTGTAATTGGGTTCCTAAACTTTATTTTTCTTTAAATTTGATCCCTAATCTTTGTAATAATTATAATTTAATCCTAAAAACTTTCTTAGTTTTTACAATTAGGTACCTAATGGTTTTGATTTCTTAAATACAAGTTTTCTTTCTTCTTTAACTATTAATTATACTTCATTTAAGTGCTTTAATTCGTATATTTCATGATTATTTTCATTTCTTTATAATTAAATTGGTGCCTTGATCATTTTGTTTATTTTGGAGCATAAATATGGCAAATTTAACCCCCATTTAATCACCACTTCAAGGGAGGATACCTCTTTGATTATTTTAAACTCTTTTATGTGCTCCAATGTGTTTAATTGCACATTTTGAGTGTTTTTTTTAATTAGTCATTCTTATTCATTTTTAAGTTTCATTTGTTTTATTTACTTTTTGATGATTATTTGAAAGGCATCAAAATGGAAAGGTGTAATAGACAGGTGCTAAAGACATGTATTTAGCTAGCCTATGTAATAGATAGGTTTTAATCTTTCTTAAAAATGTATTTAGTTAAATAAATGTAATAGTTAGGTTATTATTTTTTAGAATTCCCCACTTTAGATTGTAGTTAGGGTCCCAAATATAATAGTTAGGTCCTCATGTGTGTCTATTTGCTTGTGTGCTTGCATGCTTATGTACTTATGTATTTTACTCGCTTTCTTAGGAGATTTGCATTTAGATATTATGCTTACGTGCTATGTGCTTACGTGTTTACTTGTTTTAATTATGTTTATATGATTCCTTATGTTATAATAAATGCATGACGTCATCACATTAGTCCAACACTAGTTGTGGCCCATTTTCTCGATTTCTCGCTAGTCCAACGCTAGTGAGAACTTATAGACATGAGTTAGTCCAATGCTGGACCCTTAGGGACTGTCCACGTGCTAGACCATGTTTGCGTAACGATCACTACATTTCATGCATATTTTCTACTTTTTAGGATTTTTTCCATTTTACTTGATATTTCCTCTATATGTATATCCCTTATCCCTATGTGTGAAACACGACATTTAGATTCGCATCTCATTTAGGAAATTAGAAATAAGTTAGCTCATTTGTTTGACTAGATTAGGCGAGTCACCCTTCAAATATGGGAAATGGACGAGTATGGCTTCTTAGTCTTAGCACGCTCGTAACCCCTCTATAAAAAGAAAACTGAGTCACGAATCTTAATCCCTCGTACCCATTATGTTACATTCCTTTCTTTTAGGTCACATATATTTATATATTATAATTTTTCTTTTCTTTGAATCTCGTTTTTGCATATTCGTGACCTTTTCTAAGAATCGCTTTTGGGCATCACAATTAATGTGATTTGCACCAATTAAACTTTGAAGAGATATGTTGACCTTCCTGCTATCCATTAGGTCTAGATTTGCATCCATATAGTAACATCCAAATGTGATAAGTTTTATAGGTTAAATTAAGAAAATTTTCGACTAAATCGCGCAACTAATTTTAGCCAGGTTGAAAGGGTGTCTTAAATCAAATTTTTGCCTTTCCTTTCTTCAACCGTGACTCCCGAACTCTTTTCTCTTATTTTTCGAAAACTTGAAGTCGTCTGAAAAGGGTTTTGTTTATTTTTTATTAAAAAACATATTTTTGGGTGACTTGGTACACCTTAACTCAATACCAAGTGGCGACTCCTATTTTTCCTAAAAAAACCCTTTTTTAGACTATTATTTTGGATCAAAATCGTCGCACTTTTTAAATCCCATTTTTGGCCCTCTTTTTCTTTTATTTTTCAAAAACTCATTTTCAGTCAAAATTAATCAAAAATTCATTTTTATAGCCCGTAATTTTATTTTTTCAAAAATAGGGCACGACAAGTGCAAGGTTTAGAAAAACTACCTGGATCCTTCAACTTTGGTGACAATTTGTTTTGAAAGATGGCACTACATTCCTTTGTCAATACAATTGTCTCCTAGTCTTCAAGCTTCCTTTTCCTTCTCATGATTTCTTTCAAGAACTTAGCATATGATGAACCCACTAGATAGCATCAGCAAAAAGAATGTTAATGGGCAATTGCTTAAAAATCTTAACAGATTCTCAGAGTCCTTGTCAACTTGTTTTCGTTGAACCTTTGAGGGAATAGCACTAGTGGCGAAATAGGAACTGTCTCAGAGGTTGACGATTCACCTGTAACTTTCTTTTCCTTAACCTTTTCCCCCTTACTCACCCGTACATTCTTGCTCACCTTATTATTTTCTTCCTTCTGACTTTCTTCTCCATGCTCATCAATCAAAGTGTCATTCAACTGCCAACCATTACAGAAGCTAATAACCTTAACATGATCTCTAGGATTGACATTGATTTTGCTAGGTAACTCTCCTTGGTTCCTATTGTTGATGGCATTAGCTATTTGTCGAAATTGGACCTTAACATTCCTATACATGTTAGTAATTTGGTCCATCCTCCCCTCAAATTATTTAAACCTTTGTGTAGTGGCATGAGCTAGTTTGTTGATCTTGTCATTGAACACATTAGCTAGTCACTCAATAGCCAACTCTCAAGTAGGTTTGGTCGGTCTCCACAAGTGCCAATCTTGAGTGAAAGCTAGGTGGATTGATCGATTTTGGCTAGTTCCTTGTTCTTTCTATCTAAAGTTTAGATGGTTTACTTATACCCCAGGTGGTAAGTATTGAAATATGGATTGTATTAGGACTAATGGCTACAACTATTTAGATATTGTACGTGCTCAATACTTGCACAAATGGAATCATCATGATCACCTCTACACATAGTACAACATGTAACATTGACATTTAGGTCAAGACTAGAACCAACTTGCCTATTAAGCATTTTTACCACATTGTCCATTTTGGCATTCAACATATTCAAGCTATCAATCTCAAACATACCTACAAGTTTCTTAGCATTACCTCACTCATTATGTGAGGACTCGAAAATTTTCTTATTTTATTTTATTTTACTGGCTTAATTAATTATTTAATTCGACCATTTAAAATCCATTTATATGGAAAAACGCCTCTTTTATGTTTTTAAAGCGTTTTGTTAGAAAAGTTACTTTTTGAAAACTTGTTTAGTTCGGAACAACGAGCATACGTTTTTCGAGACTATATTGGAATTGAGAGTGTATTAATTTTGGAAAAATAAGAATGATCAATAGTAGATTAAGAAAAGTCGTGAGGACTCGTAAAAATGTATTTATTTTAAACTCCTGTTACGAGCTTATTTAAATATTTAATTGCCTGTTTGCCCCGAATATTATTTTCTAACATTTTTAGACCCAATTACATGGAACTATGATTTACATGTATTTTTAAAATGACTTGTTACGAAAATTAATTTTTGGAAGCTCGTTTAGTAAAAATAGTGAATACGCGTTTGGTGACAGTGATCGGTTTGAGGATATAGAGAGTTTGGAAAATTGGAGACTTACACAATGGTCTTAAAATAGGTATTTTTATGCTTAAATATTCAAGTGATAGTTATTAGTACCATCGTTATAAGAGTTTCTTGGAGATTTCACTTTATTGCGCTTAAATTGAAAATATGCGTTTTCACACCCGCGATTTAATTGAGGGACTTTAGACCCTTATTTTGGAACAATTAAGAGTGAATAATATTTATATGAATGTAAGTGCATTAGAGGTTTAGTGCACTAGTGTAACAAACTTAAGAGGAATCGAGCACAAAACGCACGCGTACGCGCACTAATTGCGGTTGACTTTATGCACCCAATACTTAACCATTAAGCTACCTTCAAGAAGCAAGCTCCATCAGATTTTCCCTCTCTCTCCTCACTCCCAACAGCCGAACCAACAAAGGAGAAAAACAACTCCAATTCCATCCTAATTCCTTCACCAAATCTTCTCCATTTCACTTCAAATTTCAACTACTCTTAGCTAATCACTTGGAGATTACATCAAGCTAAGAAAGAGGGCTGCTTACCACGGTTTTCTTGGGCATTCATTGGACAAAAAATTCTGCCCTAGTTCATCAAGAGAGGTAAAGGACGATCAACCCTTCAAATCTTACTTTATAGAAGTAGTATTGCACATCTAGGCTTATACATGCTTATGGGTAGATTGTTTATGTTGGAAAAATTGTTGTGTGGGCTCTATGAACTCTCACTTTGGTTGGATGGACTGACTTGGTGATTGATGATGAAATTAATGTTGGTTTAGTGCTTATATTACTGAAATAATGTTGGGTTGTTGATAGAAACTCAAGGATGGTGAAATGAGCAAAAGTGACCATTTTACCCCTGCCTTGTTCGTGCACTTTGGTGCAAAATTTTGAGGTTCTAATGGCTTGTTTATGATGTATACATGTTATATGGATAGTGTAGAAAGTTTCGTTGAAAAATAACATGATTTGGTTGGTCAAATGTGTTGATTTCCAAAGTATGGCAGAACTGGAAAATTTTCCCGGATTGCCCAGGCAGTCCTGTTGTTTCGGCTATAACTTTTTACTCCGATGTCGAAATCGAGTGCCATTTGTGGCATTAGAAACTAGACATTCCCAGATTTCTATTGGTATAAAATGCACATCCTGGTTCCACTTGTGTGAGCCCAAACCATTCATTTGAAGTTTGCTGTCCTGTTTCATTGGTTCACTACATGGCAGAACATGAACTACAAATTGATGCTCAAATATGAGTTAGTTGTGGACAGATTTTAAAAATGATTTCTTCTGAGAACTTGTAGCTTTATGAATCTAGTTTTAAACGCCATCAACTACGCTCAATTCCAAGTTGAATTGAGTGAGATATGGCCAAATTACAGACTTGGATTTTTGCTTGAAAATCCTCTTTTGGCTAGTTAAATGGCCTAGCTTGATTTGGGACTTGTTGTTTTGGAAACTTTGATGTCCAACATCTACCAAACTTTATATTAGATGTTCCTTGGACTTTGTTTCACAAATAAACCAGATTTGGGTCGGTTGCATTGGACAAAATGTTTAAAAAGGAAAGAAGAGCTAGAAGACAGTTTTGCCTTGGGAAATTTCTTGAATTTTGATGGTTTAGTTAACTACCTTCCCGTGTGAATTTTCAAATGAAATTTGATAGAGGAGTAGTCCTCATATGGAAGTTTAATTGTGCAAAATTTGGTGATATTCTAAAACCATTTTGATGCAAATGATGTCCCGAAATTGCTCTTCGAATCTAGAAAACTTTTCCTTTTCTCTTAGCTAAATGACCAATCTTGACTTGGGACTTGTTATTTCGAAATTCTTGGTGTTAATCACCTAAGAAAATGTATCTTGAATGTTACTTAGACATTGTCTATACAAATGAACCATGTTTAAAAATATTTCATTAGCCAAATGATTTAGAAAAGGGAAATGGTAGCACAAGGCAGCTTTGCCTTGAAAATTTAGAAACTTTCGTGACTTTGTTAACCGACTTCCCGTATGTATTTTTCCATGAAATTTGATAGAGGAATATTCCTTATATGGTAGTGTAATACTGCCAAATTTAGTGCCATTCCGAGTCCATTTCAATGCTTAACCCAAGTCCCAAAGTTTGTGATTTGAACCTGAAAATTGCCTAAAAGTTTCGATTTTTCA